GCTCAGGGATCCTGCTACACTTAGTACACTTGTCCCATCCATCATCTCCCCTCAAGGCTTCAGGGAGAAGACCACCATCTCCCCTACCGGCCCCATTTACACTGTAGCCAAGGCTAAGACCTGGCCGCCAACCCCTTGGTGGCTACCGTAGGCAGGACCATAGAAACTGGAACCACACTGATTGTTCCCAGTTCCATGAGTATCAGCAGCACTACCATAGAACCCAGGTGCTCCACCAGGGTATCCCCCGGTAGGAGCCCCACCACTCCGGCTGCAGGAGGTCCAGGGGGTCCTTGGCCCCGCCAGGATGTCCAGGACCTGGTGGTGGAAATGGAGCATGTCCGTGACCACCGCTTCCGCTCCCACCTTGACCGGGTGGTCCGCCTTGCCCACCTCCCCCCAAGGAGGGGGAGGAGGAGGCGGTCCAGCGTTAGCACGTTCATGCCGAATATTGCAGCGCGCACATCGCTCGCGGCCATCATTGCCAAAATAGCTGTGATCCTCAGTCCCCGTCGTCACCCCGGCAAAGCCTGCAAAACTCACGATTGCACGTAGCACACGAGAATTCAGCGTCCGGGTGCCTACGGTCGTTGGGATTATCGAGGGACTGGGCCACCGGTGCCAGGAGCTCCTCTTGCGGCCGGCGCCAAGGCCTGTCCACGATCAGACGGAGCTCCGGGGGTCCTCCACCTATCGCCAGAACTCTGGACGTCGGCCTACTCCCAGGAGTCCTCCAGTCACCGGGACTCTGGATGTCGGCATGGGCCCTATTACCCCTACCACTTCCTGGATGACGGCCTGGGTCCGGAGAGATGCTCCGCTATCGCGGATCCCCTGATTGCCGACTCCGGACCTCAGATCCCCTATCGGGGACGGCAGCAGGCCTCGGGCTCCTATTCCTACCCACATCCCTATTGGGAGAAACGCGCGCGGGGGGCCATCCCTCGCACGCCCTGGCGGTGAATGCGACCTGTCAGGCAACCCCCGAGCCCTCCTGCTTCTGCTGTCAGCCCTCTCCCTATCGGGATTAATGGGATGGCTGTCTGCACGAGAAGGATCGACCCTACCGGGCACATCTGGCAACGCGTGATCAACCAAATCAACACCTCCGCCCGGTCTCACCAGAAGGCCAGTACCCCGACCATTACCTTCTCCGGGAGTGGGCGTCGGAGACCTGATTCTGTGTCCTTGCCCCGCGAAAGCGTCGTATCCGACGTTCCGTCTCTCTCTAGGCTGTGGGGGATTTGCCTGATTGTCCTGGACACCCTGAATAATGCCAGCAGCTTCATCAACATGACCTTCGATCTCATAGAGCTGAGCCATGATCCTGTTGTTCATTCCATTAAGAGTACGCATGTTACTCTCAACAGTGCTGATCCTCCGCATAGCGCCCTCAAGCGTACTCCTGAATGAGTCAATTTCACGCCTAACGGCAGACCGTGCTTGATCACTATTCGCAGGGAGACTGCGGATCTGTCTTCTGATGTCATCAAGAACTTGATTCAGAATTCCCGAACTCGCTTCGTACTGCTCAACGCGGGATTTCAAGGTTTCAAACCTTGCAAGGACATCGTCATGGTCCCCATGGTGGCGTTGAACTCCACGAGATAGATCCTGGACCTTTCGATTGGCTTCGTCCGTTGCTTCCTGCCGGTCCTGCGGGGATACGGGCCCTGATGATCTCTCGATCGCCTGTGACCCCCTTCCACTTTGCAGCCTCGACATCCGATTAGCGAGAAGGGTTTGCTCTTCATTTATGCCACCGATGGATTCGGAGGCCCACTTAGCAAACTTCTCGTGTTCAAGGAGGGCCTTCTCGAGCTTCAGATTTAACTCTCTGAAATTCGCGTTCACCACACTGCTACTGGCCCTATCGGACTGTTGCGCGACAGGATTCAAATTCCATTCACCTGCTGGCGTCCGCATCCCGACGGTTTTCTCTACCGAGAACATCCGTCCCTCGAGCTTGTCCAAGTCCTTAAGGATCTCATCCTCGGAAGCAGCATGGCTCCTGTGGACGGCCTCACGATTCTCTTGAATCATCTGGCGAAGCCGATCAGTCGCAGCCTCATTGTCCTTAACAGATTCGTGAACCTCATGGGAAAGTAGATTGATCCTCTGCTCCACGACTTCAGCCTGTTCATCGATGGCTTGCCTCACAATGGCTTTGCTGTCGGGAATAACTTCCCTTGCAAACCGCTGAACTATCATTCGCATCCTCCCGGCATCAGATTGAGTCGCGACCTCAGCTGCCAGGCGATCGACCTTGTCCTTCGTCTGTTGACTCTCGTCGCTCCATTCCCTTCGCATGGAACTCACTTGACCGTTCAGTAACCTGATTTGGTCAGCAAAAATATGGAACGCCTTCGCGACTGAGCCAGAAACCTCACCCCTCTCGAGCATCTCCTGGATGTGCAAATCAAACACCTCCTTTGCCCTAGCGTCACCTGACTCACCGGAAGACTGGGATCTGAGGGCGGGAGGAGTCGATATCTCGATCCTCTCAGGAGCCCCACTAGCCCCGGCATGTCTCCTGGGGTCGCCTACAGGACAATCATCAATCCTGGGTGGCCTACTCGGGGTAGATCCCCTTCTCCGGCTATCGCCAGGTCGGGGATCAATGTTGGATGCACGGGACTCGGGGGTAGAGTGAATGTGAACATCAGCAGGATCGGGCATCTCCTCATCCTGCACAGTCAAGCCCATTGGTGAGGGGCTAGCCCTCCTCGCCTTCGACCTATCGGTCTCAATGGCGAGAGGTGACGGCCTCTTCGCAGAAACACTACGTTCCCTGGCGGTCGAGCCCCATTGAGGTGTGAACTCGTTGCTAGACCTCAGCGTTTCAAGATCGCTGGTATCTCGCCCTAACGGGCTAGCGATCGACGGACGATCTTCGATCCCGAGTGCACCGGCAAGCCGACCATCTCTGGCACCTGTCCTAACGACATCGGCAGCCCGCTCAGTGATCCTCGGCGAACCAGTAACCCGGTTCGAGTTCACGTCTCTCTGATTCAACGGACCTCCAAAGGTAATGTTGGGAAAAGGAGGAACATTCGGGGTATCACCAATCGCCGGGGGACCTATCGGTCCATCACGGTCATGGATGGCCTCCAATCCCCGAAGAACTTCCCAACTGTCCCCGGCCCTCTCTCTCTCGCTTCGGACGTCCCTGTCAACACGAAGGTCCCTGGCGGCCCCACGAGAGAGGCTCCTGGGCCTCGCAGCTTCACGGACCCTAGCATTTCGGCGTGATTGGTCCTCCTCTTCATCCGCAAAATTGTCGCCATCATAAGACTCAGATTTGGCAGTATTAGGGTTGGGCCTACCGGCATCAGATCCCTGCTTTGAGCTACTGCCCCAACCTGCGGTTGATTTCAACAGAGCATCGTATCCGAAGTCTGAGAATTTCCGCTCCTCGTGCTCATCAAACTACCTGGATTTTGAGAACCAGTGGATCGACCCAAGATATCTCTCGGAGCCAAGACCATAGTCCCTGGTCCTTGCGGCCTGTCCTCAAACCCATCCGAGACCTGCGACTCACCTGGAACAAGAGATCTCGGGGGTCGGGTCGGCATAGCCTCCGGGTCGTCCGAATGAGGGCGGGCCATGTTCATCGCCATGCTGATGAAGTCATACTGTCCGCGCCTGCGACCTGACTCAGAGCCGCTCCTATCGGAGCGAACTCTTTGTGCCTGCTCGTCATCAGTGGCCTGACGAAAAATACGATCGTCTCCGTCGTCCGTGTACCTGCCACGGCTCCTGGGTGTGTCCCTACCGGGATCTTCACCCCTGCGATCCTGACCCGTCGAACCTGCTTCGAAATCCTCGTAGTCATAGTCCGGTAGGTCCTCACCTGAGCGGAGGCCCCCTAGGATGGCCTCCTCATCCACGACACTCCTTCGAGATCGTGGGGTCGACATAGAGCTTGTAGTTGATGGTCTCAAGCGCGTAGGAAAGTCCTACGGCTGATAACCTGTGATTCGGGCACGAGCCTGTGCCCAGGCAATGGGTAAGTTGGGGTAAACAAGCCACAAAAGAAAGGTTCCCCAAAAGCAAACCAATCCCCGGTCCCAAAGATCAGGGTTTCCCACACACCAGAGAACAACAACCAAAGGAAACAAACCAAACAAGAAAAGGGTTAACCCGCAACCTTGGTCGACAACAGGCCGCACGACTGGTCCCTACCAACCTGGCGGCGGCCCGAGGTCTCTTTCTCCCCCGAGATGCCGTCGGTCGACGCAGGGGTTCGGCGACGCCCATTCGAGGCGCGACGGAACCCAAAACTTGAGCCAAAACACCACAGGTCGGTCACTAACGCGACGTCCCTGATGATGATATTAACCATGGCTAATCACAGATAATGAACATGCAATCCCTTGAGAACTTTTGGTTCCACTTTTCAGATCGATGCTGTAGATTTGAATTCAGAATTCACTTGAGTGTCACCTGAAACTTTGGGCGTCGACTTTGCTGTCGTTTTCTTTTTGCTTCAAGCTTTTGTTTCTACTTTTTGTTCAAGTGATCCTTGAACTACGTTCATGGGACAGACTCACTTTGGCACTCTCACTTTTATTTAAGGCAAACTATGCAAAGGAGTTTTGAAGTGCTTTAGGCGCCAACCACTTTGTACTAGAGACATCCCAACTTTTGGTTTCGAAGTCAACTTTGGTAGGATAATTGAAAAGATGCTGACTGAACTTTTCTGATCCTGGAATTTTGAACTAGTAGCTTGACTTTTTCAGTACTTTGCATGGTTATTCAACTTTGAAACATGCAAGGTTAATTAGTGCGACTTTAAAGTCACAGGGCTTTAAGTCAAGGGGTGCGAAATATCATGCACTTTTGTCCCCTCTTGCATGTTTACTTTTGTCATCATTAGGTTGCCAAATACTTTGGCTCAAGGCTCATGTGCCTGGAGAAATGGAGACTTTGCTGAAACACACGTAACGCCCTGCCTTAGCCACAACTCTCACCGGGCACTTGCACTCAGAGGTCTGCACTTTGAACAGGAACCTGAGATCTGCACTGCCGCCGCCTGCGCAGAGTAAGTCAACATCGACTGGCAGCTTGCCCCTCTTTCCACTCAAACTCTGATGCTTGTTGGGCAACCTAGGCTGTCTCAACCTAGGCTGTCTCAACCTAAACAGTAGGGGGCCCTGCGCAGTTGGCTGGCCGGAATTCTGTGGAAGCCCTTCCATGCAACCTTTTTTCATCAAAACATTCTTTGGCGTTTGGGCTTCGTGTTCTTGAGCAGAGCGTGCACGGATGGCGACGCTGCACAAAACCGCTCAGCCGCCTTAGTGGTGGCCTTGACATAGATGCAGTGGGCACCTCGTGCCTTCACCGCCTGTGCCAGATCCTTGCTGGTGAAACGGTCAGCGAAGTCCACGGACCTTACGCACTGCTCAAAGGGGGCGTCCGCCACGCGGCGGGCCACCTCCTTGGCAGCCAGGACCTTTTCTGGGCCGAAGCCGCCCTGCGCATCGATGCCGAAGAAGCGCAGGATCTCCTCCTCCTGACTGCGCAAAACAAAAAGGCGCAAAACAAAAAGGCTCAAGTCAACCCCGTCCTGCGCGCTGATGGTTTCGAGCCGGACCTCCTCGAAGGTCTTGGTCCGCAAGGCCTGCGCCAGGTCCTGCGGGGCTGGAAAGGCTTCGCAACACACCGAGCCTTTGCAAAGACAAGGCTGGAAAGACAAGACAATGCACCGGCCTCCAACTTGCCCACGTTGCCGCCGGAGAGGTGGAGGAGTTCCGACTTGTGCTCGACGGCGACGGCTCCACCGTGGTGCTTGAGGAACGTCTGGACCTGGTCAGGGAGAGCCAAACAAAAACTCAAAGGAACGCTCTCAGCAAACCCGCCTCCTCCTGCTGGCACTCTTCCTCGCTCAGCGGTTGGATCTGGAACCGAACTTCCCGGGCGTCCGCATCAAAGCTCAGGGCCATGGAGGCGCTGCTCGCCAACACGATGACTTTCGCCAATTCGGCGTCGTAGCCCCATGTCTTGGCGAAGCCAGAACAACTGCGTACAACTGCCATGTCGCTGACCTCCCGGGGGATCTCCAGGACAATGATGGGCCGTCGGCTCAGCGTCTTTGCGGCCTGCTTCAAGGCCTCCTTTGCCCCAACGTCGCCGAGGGCACCCAGCTCCTGGCAAAGCTTTTCTCCTGCCATGTGCTTGTCGCTGTGGAGCTGCACGTGGACGATGCCCTCGCGAAAGCCTGCCTGTTCGAAAGCCTTGAAGAGGGCAAAGCTCTTACCGGCCAGGTGGTTGCCCCAGATCAGCACGGGGGAGCGGTCATCCAGATCCAGCAGGCGCTTCATGGTGACCTAGCACAACAGGGTGAAAGACAAAGCGACACGGATGCTGACGACTTGTGCATGACACCGGGCCTGGACCTGCTCGCGCGGGATTTCCACTTTGGGCTGGAAAGCGTGGAAGGAACTGTGGATCACGCGATTAACCATACGAGCGCGATCTTGTTCTTCTTGCCGGCGCTTCCAAGCGTCTAGCACAAAGCCACCGATAGCAGCACCTGCGCCTAGAGCTGGTACGCTACCGGGCACCCGGCTGAACATGGCTCCGATACGCTGTTTCATCGCTGCTACAAGCCCAACATGACTTGGACACTCAGATTTCTGCGAAAAGAAAACATGCAAAGAGCTGAGCTTGTTATTACTGCTTGCGAAGCACTCTCTGCCGGCCGGAGCCTCTTCCAGGAACTGCCAGAGCTCCGCACAAGGCCTCGAAAAGCGCGTACACGAAGTGACTACACCGACTGCAAGTCAAGCCTACCCCAAGCTACACTCAACACGATAGCCACAGTCCCCGCAGGCCTGCCGAAGGGGCGTTCGCAGAGCTCATGAAATGGCTGCGGAAGAAGCAAAGGCAAACAACCATCACATTCAAAAATCCAGATGCCCATGGTAAATCTTAGCCTTACCTGTTATCATAGTTCAATATGTTTCAATAGTTCTTTTTGTTAAAATTTGTTAATGCATCATATATGGTTTTAAGTTGCAGTCTACGTACACCTTTTGACATGTATGTGCCATCAGGAGAAACTGTGTACACTACACATTGTAAATTGTGTTGCATTCCATGTGCAGCATGCGATGTGTGTCTTGAATGCAGGGCATGAGAAGGCCTACAAAAGAAATAAGCGTGACTCAATCAACTGTAAAACTGATACAAATGTAGTCAAAAACATGGCTTGACGAATTAAGCGCCCCACTATCTCCCTGCGCGTTATTGCCTTTGGCCGTTGAAAGGACACACCCGCACGACAGAACCCTTTCAGGTCTGTAATGCCGCTGCAAAAGTACATAGGCTTCGCTCAGCCAAGAGTGCCCTTTGGGCACATTGCAGGTTGACTTCTACAACCGCCTTCAGAGTCACTAGCTCGCCTTCAGCCTTTCCTGGCCCGGGAATGGCTCGCATTGATGTGTTGTTTCCAGCATGAATCAACATGGGAAGAAAATGCACAAGCAATCTCCTTCAATTTTTCCACAGCCTTCTTCCGCCGTCCTTGCCGCGCAAGTTGCAAGCCTGAGTCTGCATCGAATCCAACACCGCATTTCTGAAGTCATCATTGCCATCTCAAGTTTCGTACACTTCGCCGCTATTTCCTTCGCACGCGGAACGCTCTTGACAATTTGCGCTTGTCATCTCCAAGGGCAGCTATGGTGATCTCCAAAGGCTTGTCAACACTCAATCCCAAACAAGTCTCTGAGACCTGATAACCACGCCACTTGATTTTGAAGCGCTTCTTCTCATCCACAATCCTCGCCTGTGGTGGAGAAGTTTAACAAGCGCATCCTTCATTTGCACGCAGACAAGACTGCAAACCATGTGAGCATGTCGCAATCAGTTTGGAGGGTACGCTCTCTCTTGAAACCTACATGTGGACAAAAGCTCTTACAGGAATCGGCACAAGCACACTTCCCCCCGAAAGAGCTCAAGCTGAGTACGCAATGCAAATGCAGCACAGGCTAGGCCACCTTTTACCAGCCGCGCCTAAAACGCATGAAAGGCTATGCCCCGCACCACTGCTTTGGCTGTCCCTTTTGTCTTCTTTGTAACCTTGCAGCCTGCTTCTGCTGAAGACTCCTCCACTTCATGGCGCACTCGATATGTGCCAATCCATGTGAAACGGTTGGGCTACTTGGGTTCAAAAGCGTATTACTGGAGGCCCAGCGCCTGTCTGAATATCTGAGGTGACACAGGTAGAGGAGGCGCTTCGGGGACATGTGCTTCCTCCGCGACAAGACATAGCTTGGGATGTGCATGCTAATCAAAGACAGCATTGCAGGTGAGCGTGAGGAAAAAAGCCCGCCTGGTCCTGCTCCTCAAATCCTTGTTGGTTTTTCCTACCATCTACTTGGAGGAATGCACGCAAGGCGCAATGATTGCACTTTGTGGGGGTAAGAACAACAAAGACACCGCACGCAACTGAACAGCCAGACATCAGTCATATAGGGAGGCGTGGCTTTGGCAAACAATTAGGCGACAGAACTTATTCTCGGCGTCATCTGCATCTTATGTCTTGCTCGTTGGCAGTGACAGCAAGTTAGCCTGTTTCACTTTTCCGTGCCCATGCCCCACTCTCGCTCGCTCAGGAGGGTTCTTTGCACAACACCTGTGGGTCAGATTAGTTTTGCTGCACCTTCTCTGAGCGCGCGCCTTGCTTGCTTGGCAGCGGCTGCTCGGGCCTTTGCAACACTGCATTGGTTTCACAAATGCTGTCAATACGCCCACACAAGCGCAAATCAAAACACTTTAGGTTCCGTGCTTTGAGGTGCAAGACCAAAAGCACGCAAGAGATCATGGCCAGACTAGTTCGCCCGTGCTAAAACAGACAAAAAGGTTTCAATGAATGGCATGTCCAACAGGCTTCAAACTAAATGATGCGTCGATGTGGTCTTGTCTAGTCTTGTCTGGATTCATCTGCCAATCTTGACAGCTGCCTTGCCGGACAACTTCTGCATAAACTCCGAGCTGATTTGTGCAGGGACCCTGCAAAATGCAGATGACACACTTGCATTAGCCCAGAGTACGACGCCCACTCCTTTTGTAAAGAGTCCTACACAAAACTCATGGTCAAGTACTGTTTGCGATAAACAAAACAGGCCAAAGAAACCAAGCAAGTCAGGATGGACAACAGGCCCTACTCACCACTCTGCTTTTCATTGGCGTAGAGCTGAGGTGCAAAGTGTGAGAACGAAAATAGACAGCCAAGGCCATGTGCATTTGAAAGTTGCTGTGCGCAAGTTCCTTGCATTGCACCCGTCAGACCGTGACAAGACTGCTTAGCAGCTTGCAACTGTCTTGCTGTGGCCAAAACACAAGTGAAGAAAGGTGCGAAAGGAAAAGCCCTGTTGGTTGAATCTAACAACAGCCATCTGTTTTTTGAAAGGAACTGCGAAAGTTTGCTTCAAATTCCGTGATGCCCCCAGTTTCTTCGAGCATGTGTACGAAAAAAAGACCTTGGTGTATCGCGTGGCTGGATTGGTCAAAGCCTCCGCATATACCTTTTTCCCAGGCGCGTGCACAGAGCTTAAAGCAACAAATGATGTGACTGGCACTGGAAGATTCAATCCTGAATTGTTGGTGTAAGATCTTCTTTTGCATTGAATTCGGCTCACAGCTTTGCGATCACCACCCTTGTCTTATTCACAGAAGCTTTGCGGTCAGCGGCAGGAGCCTGTGATGACGGCATGTGCTGACATGTTGCTGCGCGAAGAAAGAGAAACCAACAGCTCAAAATGGCATCTGAGCACTGAGCACTAAATCCATGACGGACGATGCTGCGCACAGCATCCAGAACCTACACTGCTGAATCCTTTCAGAACAGAGCATTTAGTGTGTCACAAGAAACGGCAACTACCTGGAAGTATTCTTTGGCGACTCGTCGCTAGCTCCTCCGTGCTCTTCTGCCTTCCACAATATCCAAACAAGGATGATTTATGAAAATTGGAACTTTCTTGGATGAACGAGCTGCTCTAGAAACACGGTGGGCTCGTTTTAGAAAGGAACCTCTCATGTCAACATCCCAACATCTTTCAAGTGAAACTCTGCCTGCAGGAGATGCTCTTCCTGGCTGATATTGATCGGAAGCACCTGTTTTCAGCGTTCGGTTTCAATTTCACAAGCGATGGCAAAACTGTTTGCACCATGTCAAAGGATTGAACTGGACCAACACACAGCAGCAGCCCATTTGGACACATCCTGCAACTTCAATATATTTTTGAGACCTGTCAACCTAACCTGGATTTCGATGGTGGTAGCGGGCATCTGGACTGGACACCTGGCTGCTCAACTCATCGATTTCTAACAATGAGGTGCCACAAACAGACGCCAACACACTTGCAATCAATGCAACACAGATCAAAAGATCTGGGCCTGCTGCGAACTCTTCCCCAGGAGCATGGCCATGCTCCGCTCCACTTGGTCCAGTCGCTGCCGAGGATCCCCTCACAACTGGGCAGGTGTCGGGCCAAGCTTTTCCAAAAAAATGTTTGTTTCTTGTTAAGGTTCAACACTCGAAAGGAAATATCAGTGTGTTTCAAAGCTGTCTCGAAGTCTTGAACCCTCACCAGTTCATACCAGTTCATTCACACTGTGCTTCCAGGTGACTGTTGCCAAATCGCGGCAAGTATTGTTACAGCCTCTACATCAGAGCAAAAAGATGCGTCAGACCCACGCAGCTCATACGTGAATGCGCACAGCAAGAACCCATTCCGCAGCTGGAAACAAAGACATACCAAACTGGAAGTCACGCAGTGTAACATGAAAGTAAACGTAGAAGTACTCCTTGCCTTCTGCACAAATTGTGGGCTTTTTATCCTTGGCAAGGAGCTACAAGTCACAAGAATGCTGTGAACCAAGGTTCCCACCTGCACGACAGTCATGTTGCTGTCAGAGGCAGACCTCAGCTCACTTACCAAAGTGTCCAAATTCCCGTTTTTAATGCAAGGAATCGAACAGCTGAAATCCCAAGTCCTCTCAGCTGGCCTCCGGGACGCTGTGCCTCTGCTCCAAGCGCCTGCAGAAAGCTGAATCACTAGCGGATTGATTCAGTTATGCTTTGTTTTTTTCAGAGCCAGGAGAGTAAATCATGTAACTCATTTGCAAAAGGCTTCAGATGTAGCATTGACAACTACAAAGCTACAATCCAAAAAGGCGAATGCGCTGCAGTGGATTGTGGCGAGGAAGATGATGTTCTGAATGCAGTCGGACCCCTCCCCCAAACAATGCAGCCAAAAACGAGAACTAAAGTGCCAATTAAAATGAAAACTGCAACTAGCCAACAGCCTCGTTTTGGGATTCCAATTTGTTCACTGCCGTCTTCCTATTGACAATGGTTCCATCTCGTGCTGAATTTGGCTCGGTCTGAAGCAAAAGAGAAACCCAGGCATTGGGGACATGCGGTCTCGCACAATAGAAACTTCTTATTTCTTGAGCCAAACCAAAGACGCCAACCTGAGAACCAGTATTATGAACCTAGGAGTAAATCCGTAAGAAAGGGCAAGCGCACATATAAATATATACAAATCACATCTCGAAAGATTGAAAGTCGACGCTCCTTTTCTCGTGGTGACAATGGGATGTCCAAGATTGCATCTGAGTCGAAATGGTCACTGAATGCACAAGTCTGATACACTTATGCACGGGCGCATGCAGCACAGTTTGCTTTATCATCACCCCGAAAGTGAAACTTGGCTGAGCACGCAAGTCTGAGGCACGTGCGCATGGTGCACTGTTGCATAGTTTGCATCATTGGTGCCACTGCCGCATAGTTTGCGCACAAGTGAGACGCAAGGCCACTGCAAGTAATTTAGGGCGGGCTGGGCGGGACAAAAAGGTGCACCGAATGAACGGAGACACCCACCCTCCTCAGCCCATGCTGCGGCATGACACACACTCACAGGCTGGCTTGAAAAACCACTGTTTTTCACTTTGGTTGGCTCACAAAATAACGTGCTATCACAAGTGACCGCTTACTTATTTCTTGAGCCAAACCAAAGACGCCAACCTGAGAACCAGTATGCAAGCGCACATATAAATATATACAAATCACATCTCGAAAGATTGAAAGTCGACGCTCCTTTTCTCGTGGTGACAATGGGATGTCCAAGATTGCATCTGAGTCGAAATGGTCACTGAATGCACAAGTCTGATACACTTATGCACGGGCGCATGCAGCACAGTTTGCTTTATCATCACCCCATCTTAACCGTCAAGCGATTCTCCCTTTAGTAGAATGTCAAGTAAATTTTCCACATTGCAACACGTTGCATTTTGGGCCTCAAGCTCGGACGCGAATCCTCTTGAAGGTCCATCGCTCACGTTGGATGGCGAAGGCACACGGGCAATCCAAGTCAAGACCGTATGGCTGTCTTCAAGATTCAGCAAAACCTCCACAAGATGCTTGGCAATGTTGGACCTTCCACGGCCAGAAATGAGAACGTCACGGACCGCATTGTTGTCTACATAACACACAATCGGGTGGCCCGCAAAGAGCCGGCCCCATAGTGCGAACGCGATGCAAACACTGAGCAGCTCTGCTTCGAAGATGGTTGTCTTTTTGCGGAGTTCACCCAAAGCCTCCCTTTGCTCATCATTAAGGCAATGTGAGAAGAAGGAGTGTAGTTCTCCCGTGGGACCAAACAGCACTCCTCCAAGCCCACATGCCCAAGCTGCCCCTTTCTCATGGCAAGCATCTGTGAAGAGTAACCACGGCGAACCTGCATCTATGGAAATCTTCCTTGGAGCTCCTTCACGCAACAAACAAGCGAACCTTGAGATGGCTGCTATGGAATCGTCTGACAAGGCTGAACCGCTAGTTTCGAAAACATGCTTATCAACCTCCCTTAAGCAAAGACGGCTGGCTCTTCCGAAAATTTGTCCATCCGCAAATTGCATGCGGCCCCGCAACCTGAGTGCTTCAGCCTTTTCCTGTTGCAAACGGCTTCAAGAGTGTCACCCAACTCAGCTCTGCGCTTGGCAGTGTTGCCGAATTCGGCCCATCCGTCCCGAATGTGCTCCAAATTAACTGTGATTCCAAGAGCACTGAAACATGTGGAGAAAGGGCGGCATTTGTCACCATCGGTGGCGTACTTCCACCCCGTCAGCCTGAACAGTGCATCTACCGCCATCTCTGATGAGCTTGCCAGGCATGGCGGTGTCAGGGTGACAAAATCGTCGAAGAAAACAGTCCAGCACAAAGCTAACGAAGAGGCGCCAATCCAATAGAGACTGCGCGCAACCCGCAAGAAGCTATGCACGGATCTTGTAGCCCCGAACGGAAGGGCTCGGAGAGCAAAAACCTGGGGACAGCGAAGATGGGGGTTGAACACAACAACAAAGGAAGCCCAAAGGGACGACGGGCGCACCCCCATTTGTCTATACGCTGCACACAAGTCAAAGCACTTCCCTAACATGCCTCCACCATTGGTGGAACGAGCCAGCTGCAGCAGCAGCGCCGCAACCACGTCTGTCGAATGCGGCTTCGGACTCTCACAAGCTTGTACCGTCGAATTCACCCCTGATCCGCTGAAGTCATCGATGAGTCTGACTTTGGCACCCTGCTTCAGGCCAAACCTACGGCTCACGATGGCATGGTCAGGAAGGTCGGCCACTTCGATGGGCCCCACGAGCCACCCAAGATCTTTTTCCACAAGCGTTTTAGCATACACTTCTTCATCCACCGAAGGGTCCCCAGAAGTTCTGGCCGCATTTATGATGGCTACCCTGCTCGCTCTAGCCTGTTGCTTGAGCTGGTTTTCCGTCATTGACGCAGGCTTGAAGGTTGCCTCAAAAATTCCAGTAGCTGGCACAGGCCCTGTGAGAGCTGTGCCTGAAACCAGTTCATCAAAAACCCCCATGTCTGGGTAATCACACTCGACCAACATTTCACGCCAAAGCATTAGCCGCTTCCCAGACAGTAGGCTGCGCAGATGCGGCGCCAGCTTGCACTTCAAATTGTTTTCCTCCTCTTGCAACTCCAAGGCTCGCTGTGTCCACTTCCTACACCAGGCTGCTCGTTTCTGCGCGATGACACCCACTGTGTCACGGCCATGCACTGCCACGGCTAAGGCCAAAGGCTCTGGCAATTTTGCAAATAGGGATTTAGGGTGCCCTGCACGAAGAGCAGCATCTACGAAGCACATGGGCGAAAAGGGTACACCCCAAGCCTGAACAAAGTTTTCGCTGCTTTCACCTCCCCCGCTTAACCGAACTGGTGTGCACCGCAGAAGCTGTGCTTCTGCTGGAATTTCTTCCACATTGGCGCACAGGCTGGCAGGCAGCCGCCAAGGTTGTTTCAAGCGCTTCATTGGCTCACAGGCGCTTCTTGCAGCAATTTTAACGGCCCATACACTTGAAGAATTTGGCAATGCTCAGCAACAAGCGGCGGCATTTTGCTGGCACGGGACTGCACCCCAGCGGCTGCGCGCAACAAGTGGATGGAAGAGTGCTGTGATTTATTGGCCGACAACTGCAAACGTTGGACAGCATCATCAATCGAAACTGCGGGAGGCTGCCAACCTCTTTTGGCACATTCTGAAGCGAATGCAGACGCAATTTCAAGCGCCAACAGCATAGGGTATGCGGCTTCCTCCTTCGTGGCAAATTCCCGTTTGCCATGCTTCCAAGTCAATCCCCAAGGCAGGCGCACGTGTGACGGGGACTGACCTGGGCACTCTTTGCGGATTTTGCTAATGCCCGGGACATTGTGAGCAAGCACAGTCCATTTTGGTCGTCTGCCGCCATATGCGCATGCCTGATGCGCAGTGAACTGTAAACGAAAAGGGAGCTTTTTTCCATGCATCTGTTAGCCAAAACAAAGATGAACGAGGGTTTTCCACACAAATCAACATGTCCCGCTGGTGGCAAAAGACAAGTACATGATGCATAGCCAAGGAAACCCTGAGAGCGTCTTGGCCTTGAAGATGCGCAAAGCCATTCGGCTTAAGTGCAGAGCGCAATGGTTTGGGGCCTGGCAGCTTGCGACCCCTCGCATCATGAAGGGCGATGGTTCTGGCCTGGCTACAAGTTCCGCATGGCGGTGCAGCAAAGATACCAAGCACATTTGGACTCCGCAACCAGGTCCACAACAGTTCCATGCCTTCATCTGTGGTGAGGTCTGCCACCATTACTGGCCCAGATGACATTATCTTAACGTGGTCCACACCAAAGCAACGCTTAAGGCCAAGGCTCCTTAAACACGCGGTAACTCTGGCTGATCCGGCAAAGATTTCAATGATAACTGGATGACTCGTGCAAAGTCGGGATGGAGCACTGGTACATGCTTGAGGCTGGGGCACTGGCACTTCAAGCGGATGCACATGCCCACGCACATGAGGACTATCGCTCATTTCCTGAGTTGTCCGGGATTCGTCAAGAACGTCGCTCGTTGGGTTTGTCAAGTTCACACTGACACGTGGAGTCACATCATCCGTGAAAATTTCAAGAGGATTATCATTAGGATTGGTCAAAATTGCAACATCGAGTTCTTCTGTGGCGGGCTGTGGCCTCACGAGTGCGTCCTGCTGAGGTGCTTCAAATTTTCCCAAGAAATGCATTGGCACACATTCGCCACTAGGCGCACTCAGCAGCTCAACAGGGTTCACGGGCAGCTGCGGCTGCCCCACATCGATCACTTAGAGGACTTCTTGTGCTGAGCAAGCGTGTGAGGCTCGAAGCACACCGGGCAAACATGCCTCCCTTTGTTGCATTCTCCTCCATCGCTATGCTTCTTGGCAGGTGGGCCGTGACCGCCCTCTGATTTCTTGGCTTGCGGAATCACGGTCCTAGTTGGCAGAGGCAGCAACGCAAAACTGACCTGATAGCTCTCGAGGGCTTTCATCAATGCAGCATCCATTGGGCACACACCTGCAGCATCCCGCCTTGGCTTCACACCGTCCTCGATGAGCTTGGTAAAGACGAGCTTGTCGGCTTGCACTAGCTGGGGCAAAGCACAACGAGAATACCCTGGGGGCGGCTCACGATGACAGTGCGAAAACAGTGAATTCACGTAACGCTCATAGTCCAAAAACGAGACCGCCTCTGCAAACGCAAAAGCCAGACCTCTGCGCCTGAACGCTTCCAACAGCTTCAACAAATCGTGGACCTGCATGTCTGGCGCCACCACCTGCTCTTTGATCGATAGCTTGTCGGACTCAAATTCCAGTTGTTTCTTCGGATTGCTGGCTGTGGTAACTTCATGCACGCGGGAGATACAACGCTCAGGTGGTATGTATCTCAGCTGACCAGATTCACGCTGTTGGGCGCACAAATCCAGCAAGGCGTGGCCCGGCTCCATCGGTCCTTCAATCAGAACACCTATCAAGGTATCCCTAAGGTGCTTCATCCTGCGGTCCCTTTCGGCTTCCGGCACCTTCTTCAGGGCAGCACTGTCTGGGTTCACCACTTGCTCCCGCAATGCCGCCAGGACCAGTGTTTGGCTTTCAAACAGCAGACGCTTGATCGCCGACGTGTCGCCCAGCGAAACATTTGCGTCCACTGTGGATTGTACCCAATTTGTAAAACTTGCTTCATCTAATGGTTGCCCAGGTTGCCCATGAGCATAGGCCAAACTTCCCATGGAGTTCAGGCCCAGCCTTCGCAATGTCCGCAGTGCTGCATCTCCAAGACGCACCTCGCCTGCTCTCTTTGAGAAATGAGCCTCTGAATCTATAAGCGAGGCCATGGCGTAAGCGCGAAGCAAGCAGTACTAACGTGACAACCGTACGACAAACCAAACAATTCAAAACATGGCACATCTCAAAGACCACAGGGAAGCTCACCCAAAAGAAATTCGGCACGAGGGGTTGACGAAACAAGGTACCTCAATGACATGAATGCACCCTGTCCTAACTCTTGAGCCTCTCTGTGCCGAATCAAAACTTGATTCAAAATGCACTCAACGCCCATTGACCACTCACTCTCGCCCATTGGCGCGGCACAATCTGCCTTTTGTGACACATGGCGAGGTGATATCTCATGGCCCGTCGGCCGTGCACATTTGCACATTGAGCTTCGCATTCGAAGCATCACCACCGCTTCCTGCAGAGTGAGCAATCTGCATTTGCCTCGTGCTCTTGACGAGACTCCTCATAATTGGAATTCAATCTGCGGCCACATGCAGTGAGTCGGCTCCCTTCACTATAGGTAGCTTCATCCATCTTGCATAAGTGCAAGACGCAAGACTTCTTGTGAACAAACCATTTCTCAACATTAATGACTGGCCGCTGGCGAATGGCCGGTGTAGCATTTCCCTCATCACCTCCAACATCGGATTGCACGCCATCACTGGCTTGATCATCAGCTGAACTGACACTGCCTTGCTCATCATCTGAGCTTTGCACAATTTCCTCAACAGGACCTGCACTGTCAGCTTCAAACGATTGTTCCTTAACAGCTTGGCTGCATGCAACTTCTCCCGCATCATGGGGGGTTTTGAAATAGTCACTTCGTGAAGCATCTGGCACAAACTGCCCGGCTGCAATTTCAGTGATGACCTTTTCCAACTGCTTCACTGGGCCAATCACCAAGTCCCTGGCGTAGATAGCAGAGCTCGACACCACTGCACTCGTGTGCCTTCCTAGACAACTCCTGTCTGCTTTGGACAGCCCAAACTTGGCACACCAGCTCAGACATGTACTCTTTGCAGAATGGCTTGACAAACCTTCTATCTGCTCCTGACTGAAATGCAATCTGAGGAGTCCACGCATCATATCCGTGACCTCCTTGGACATGAGACCTCGCACGCACAGCTCGGAACAAGACAGATCCCTTGGGGGTCTCAGCAAAGGCCCGTTGATGGTTCCATCCAAAGTCAACCCAATTGCGTTGAAGGCTTTGGCCGCATTATACATCCAAACTGTTCCTGTGACCCCTTTGGCAGGAATGAGAATTGGAAGGAGCATTGCCTTCTTCTGAGCAGTACGTCCTGTCTTATGTATGCCTGTGCGGATCTCCAAGTAGCCGCCCTCTTCTCCATAATCTGCCACTGCATCATGAACACAAGCAAATAAGCACAAACAGCACGGTCAAACGGACACAGCTCTTGAGAATCCAGCAGTTGGTGCAAAAAGCGCATCTGATCTACTGTGATCACCTTGACCTGTTGCGTGAATCTCTTTCCTGCAAACATCTGCTCGCTAAGTCCTGCAACACGGCGACTAACAATCAAACGCCCGCTGTTGATGCCCATCACGTGAGTTGCAAACCTAAGTGCTGAAACGAAATCTGCAGCTTTTGTAGGCGCTCCACCTGCTTTGCGAAGAGCACTGACATACGCCCAGGCCAGATCCTCATGAAAAATGTCGCTGCGATCAGGGAAGGCCTTGGCCATCCATCTCAACGCTTCCAGCAATGCATTTGCACGTTTGACCACTGTAAAAGGTGACCTCGTTCCAAGCGTGGCTGCAATAATTTCCAGAGCCGCGTCATCTCGACCGGAACCCAGTTTCCCTTGCAGTTGTTCCATCAGTTGATGCGAATCGGGGCATGTCTGCAGAATGGTCCACCACTTCATGACACCAGCCTCAAAAAGCTTTGCACGTGTCTGCATGAATGAAATGTCCTCTCGGCTACTGATGACCTTGGCAAAGACCTCTTGTCCGTGCAGCCCATCCTGCTCAATAACCAAACCTGTTTGATGGTCTGACTGGTTGAGTCCTGTCTCTGTGCTTAGGAAAGGCAACATCCGTGGCACTGCATCATGATCGACAGGCCCAAAAATTTGAGTCGACGACCCTACTTCCCAAGGCATTGTAATGTTGCAGACCTGAGTGTTTGTTATGATGGCATGTCCAACAAACAGCTGCGAAGACAAAATATCCAGTGTACTTCCTGTTGGTTCTTCGTCAACAACACTGAAAGAATCTTGCGAAAAGCTGTTCGAGACATAATCATGAATCTCATCGTGAAGATTTGGTTCATCATGACTCCCATCGTCTGCAAATTCATGTGGCGAAAATTCGTAGCCAAGAGGTTCAGTCTCCAGGTGCCCAGTATGTGAAGGTTCAAGCGGAACAATCTCGTTGACCAAATCAGAGTCAACAATATGCAAAGGTTCATCCCTCGGCACATCCGCTTCGGCAAATCGCTGTCGCTTCTTCCATGGCATTCGAACTACGACAACATAGACCCCCACATTACAAAAAGGTGCACCGAATGAACGGAGACACCCACCCTCCTCAGCCCATGCTGCGGCATGACACACACTCACAGGCTGGCTTGAAAAACCACTGTTTTTCACTTTGGTTGGCTCACAAAATAACGTGCTATCACAAGTGACCGCTTACGAAGAATTTTCAGGATTTGGGGCCAGGAAGCCAAAAAGTGAGCTTGGTCAAATCTTCTCGGCCAAATCTTCGGGGACGCGCAACAAGAAAAACATCAAGTTAGGCTTACCTAGACTATGGTTCATAGCCAGGTATTTACACTGTTCATTGATGCTCGGACATCATCACTTGCGTTTGCTCCTCAAGCAGATATCCTTCGAATCTTCCAGGTTGAGAGAATCCATGCTTGTTGCCTTCCTTGCAACCGTCCTATAAACATCTCTTGATGAAACCGTGCGAGATCTCTTGAAAAGTGCATCTTGTCATCCACCCACCAGCGTTGGGCATGCCTTGGTCTCGGATGTATCCCGCAGCAAGTCCGAGAAGAATCACCTTTACTGAACCCAGAAACTATAGGTGCTTCACATCACAGGATGAAGCAAAGATCACTAAGCCACACACAAGCATCCACAAGGCAAGAGAGCCGTGGTAGTCCTCGGCTAGCTGGAATGATTTCATGCTGGTTGAGAAAGTGCCTTCGAAAACAGGCTTGAAAGATCTTATCAGCAATGAAGTAAGCACCTGCATCTGCCATGAGGGCGAAGTCTCTGGAACCTTTTGCACAAGTTGACCGTTCAATGCCACTTTGTCCAGTGATTCTGCGCATGCCCTTCTCTGGCACACAACAGATCTAGCCTCAACTGTGACGTCTTCCACCTAAAAAAAGGGAGCTGAAGCAAGGAAAGAAAGCAGAGCAAATGGAAGCTGTACATGCATCCACTCGTGCTGGCTAGTCCCAGCACCTCTTGGATTGCTTCATCTTTTGCAAGTTGTTCCACCTTAAACTCTTGATTTCTTTGGATCTCCATGTTGCTTTGGACGGATCACAACTTTGCACGTGACTTCAGACAACTGCAAGAAAACGCTGCCGCAATCTGCTGAGTACCCGTACCTGCTGACATGAGGGCGAAGTCTCTGGAACCTTTTGCACAAGTTGACCGTTCAATGCCACTTTGTCCAGTGATTCTGCGCATGCCCTTCTCTGGCAACAACAGATATGGCCTCAACTGTGACGTCTTCCACCTAAAACAGGGGAGCTGAAGCAAGGAAAGAAAGCAAAGAAAATGGAAGCTGTAAATGCATCCACTCGCGTTGGCTAGTCCCAGCACCTCTTGGATTGCTTCATCTTTTGCAAGTCGTTCCACCTTAAACTCTTGATTTCTTTGGATCTCCATGTTGCTTTGGACGGATCACAACTTTGCACGTGACTTCAGACAACTGCAAGAAAACGCTGCCACAATCTGCTGAGTACCCGTACCTGCTGACATGAGGGCGAAGTCTCTGGAACCTTTTGCACAAGTTGACCAGTTCAATGCCACTTTGTCCAGTGATTCTGCGCATGCCCTTCTCTGACAACAACAGATTTGGCCTCAACTGTGACGTCCTCCACCTAAAGCAAGGGAGCTGAAGCAAGGAAAGAAAGCAGAGCAAATGGAAGCTGTAAATGCATCCACTCGTGTCGGCTAGTCCCAGCACCTCTTGGATTGCTTCATCTTTCGCAAGTCGTTCCACCTTAAACTCTTGATTTCTTTGGATCTCCATGTTGCTTTGGACGGATCACAACTTTGCACGTGACTTCAGACAACTGCAAGAAAACGCTGCCACAATCTGCTGAGTACCCGTTTCAATGCCTTTGGAACCTTGAACTCTAAAGGTGGAAGTGTAAGACACTAGATGGGCCCACATGGCCAAGTAAAAAGGGGGTTTGACCAAAGTCCATAGGGAACCCTTTAGGGGGCCACACCCCAAAAGGGCACATCCAAAAACAGGGGGAAACCAGGAGGACACACCCAAAACCCAACCCTCCCCAAAGGTGCACCCCCTTAAAGAGGGAAGGGAGGGTTTCCCCAACAAGACCCCCTTTAACAGAAAGGGGGAGGGGAGAGAGACACAAGTGGGATTCGCGCACCGAACCTTTTCACACGAAAATTGGGCAAGTCACTCGGACCTGCCCCACTCCAGGTGCACATCACGTGGACACCAATCCACCCCGAACGTCAAAAAGTTCGGAGAGTGGGGCAGCAATCTTTGCACAAACGAAAAGATCTGGCTTTGCGTCTGAGCAAATGCGGGCAATCGGGCAAATGCAGACACTCACCACGTGGTGTTAAGCGAAGTTCTTGAACCTGAAGCGGCTTGTACACAGCCAATGCATGCGTAGCACTGCGTAGCACCATGGGTAAAGTAATGCACACATAAAAGAAAAGGAATGCCATGCCGTAGGCAAAGGCATCCATGGTCTGCTCGGGTGGGAGAGGTGGGAGAGCAGAGCCGTAGAGGGTGCTAGGGCACCCACCCACCCACCGCTGAGCCGGTGCCGTATATATAGAAACTGCACAGTTTCTCAAATCAAGGTGAC